CAGAGAGACACAACGAGAGAGGGAACACAAGCAGGTGGAGTGGGAGAGGGAGAAGCAGGCTTCCCGCGGAGCAGGAAGCCCGATTCCGGGGCTGAATCCCAGGACCCTGGGATCATGACCTGAGCGCCGAAGGCAGACGCTTAACGACTGAGCCACCCAGGCGCCCTGAATCAGTGTATTTTAATTAAGATATTTTAAAGAAAAAATAACACTGGGAAAAGAAATTTAACAGTTTTAGTTTCTCCTCAAATATTAACTGCATCTTTTTTAAAAAAAGATTTATTTATTTATTGGTGGGGAGAGGCAGAGGGAGAGGGATAAGCTGACTCCCTGCTGAGCATGGAGCCTGATGCCGGGCTCCATTCTCTACCCTGAGATCACGACCTGAGCCGAAACCAGGTGCCCCTTAACTGCATCTTTACCAGCCGTAAGAAAGAAGAACCAATAATCCAGAACTTTAAATCCAGTAGCAAAGGAACTAAAAACAGAAGGCTATCAGTCTCCTTACAGTGACAAGTCTTCCCTCATTGCTAAAAAATGCTCCTGGACACCACATGAGAAGGCAATGACAATGACCAAAAAAGAAACTGACCAGTTTCATAGTTTAAGTTTTATGTCTTCCACGCAAAATATCCTAAGGTTATAAGTCATTAGAAACAATTCATTTATTCAACTTACTAAAATGTTTAATAAAATCCAAGTTAATCTGATCATAGCCTAATAAACAGGAAGGATTAACACAAAGGTACTTTTTTTTTTTAAGATTTTATTTATTTGACAAGGAGAGAGACAGCGAGAGAGGGAACACAAGCAGGGGGAATGGGAGAGGGAGAAGCAGGCTTCCCGCCCGCCGAGCAGGGAGCCCGATGTGGGGCTCGATCCCAGGACCCTGAGATCATGACCTGAGCTGAAGGCAGAGCCATCCAGGTGCCCCCACAAAGGTACCTTCTTACCCTGATCTACAAATATTTACATTCTCCATCTACATGGTAGTAGGAACATGACTGGAATATTTGGGCTCTATTTCAATCAAACAATCTCAGGATCTAGGACAGAAAAAAATACAATTGATAATAATACTAGTAGCAGACCCTGAGCACTAGAAACATAGGATTACACAATTAACCCATTAGAGGAAGGTGTGCTGAATGTAAGCTGATTGGTAAGAAAAAGCTCTGTGAGGGTTGGACTTGAGCAGTAGTCACGATGGCAAGACAGATGCCAACTAAGTGTCCTGGGGTGGGAGATGGTCTTCGAGAAGCTCTCTGTGTAGTAGCTCACTTATCTTCAAATCTCCACTCAAAGGACACCCCCTCCCCAGAAAGGCCTTCCCTGACCTCCACATGGAACTGGGGGAGGCCTCCAGTCGATTAAACAACCGCCCCCCCATCTGTGATCTGTGATCAGCTTACTGGACGACTCGTGCTCCTACTTGTCTTCCCACTGGAAGGTGCTCTCCACAAGGGAAGAGACTAGGTCTGTCTTGTCCACTGCAGCATCCCCAGGCCCTAGCCAGCATTAGGCCACAGCACAGTCATCAAACTCTGCTGAGTGACTAAGAGCCAGCAATTCCAGTGGAGGGCAGAGCAGAATCTAATCAGAAAGGACTAGAAAACAGGGAGCAGAGAGAACAAGAACACAGACCAACCTTTCTGTAAGTTCAAAGGAACACTAGAGCCAAGGAAAATATGCTGATGTTTTCCCTCAGACAGAAGAAAAACATTGGGTGGTATTTAAACAGGGCCCTGGAAACAAGAATTATGATGTGAGTAAGTGGAAAAGAGAAAGAGTAAACATCTGAAAAGACAGAGTCAGTGTGAGCCACTCTGAAGGGTCAGACGGAGCACGACAAGCATCGGGACAGTCAGACCTGCCTGAAACAAAAGACACCGTCTGGGGGAGAGCGAAAGGGAAAGCCAGGTAGGAAGGGATAATGCAAGACTGCAGAGGGCCCTGAGAAGAATTTGGTTTATGTTCCATAACCAATACATGTCTGATGTTGTTGTTACCACCTCAGAGGCAAAAATTTTAAGAATTAAAGCAATAACGAGGTTATTCAAAGGGAGAAGTGTCAGGATTCATCGTGACTTTGGTAGAAAATCTGGTAGGACACTTGTGTCATGATAAATTTTCCTCTCCTCTCCTTTTCATACTCTACACAATGTAATATGAAAACCTTCTCATTGACGAGAATGAATGCTGACATTGGGCTTTTTCTCACATACAAGCAGTAGGAGCTCCAGGCTGACCACACACATCACTCCTGATCATGCATGACATACAGGTCTGATGTAAACCCTGTCTATTCTTCACGGTTCACTTGCTGGAAAAGGCAAGGGAAGAAACAAATGTTATAAAAGGAAAAGCCACTATGTACTCATTTAACATAGAACTAGAGAGTAAAAGACCTGTCCACTCTTGAGCAAAAGACACACAGCACCTGAAAGAAAAACAGCACAATAATGAGCATTACGCATCACTGGTACTCACCCAAGCAGTAAGTATAAGTGTCTCACCTTCAGTTCCAAAAGAAAACACTAATATCAGATCTTCTATAATGAATTATAAGACTTTGTTTTCAACTTTATATGTTCTTAGATCTCTATTTTTTCCTAACCTTAATCTACTATTGTTATGTTTTTAAAGAGATTATAAAGTATATTTTAGAGTTACCTACTTAAGCATTTATGTCCTCTGGCATTACAACTTGTTTAAACATATAAATTTAACTACTATTTAAAAAGAGGAACAGAATGAGTACAAAAAATAACCTTTGCTAAATATTTCACATGACAGATATCAGCATTCTTTGCCTACTTTGCTCAATCATAACAAATTTTCTCAAAATGGGTACTTTGCAAATCGTCAAGACTGATCCGTTTTTCCTGCTTTCACTGGAGGGGACAGTGACCTGGCTTCTAGATGGCCTGAAAGTTAAGCTGAAGAATAAAAGCAGTGTGGTTATTTTTAGAGCTCTATAGGCATAGAAATACAGCCCTAAACTGTGACCCACAGCTCTGCATAGCCGAGCCTCACACCACGCGACAGTCCTCACCGTAGCTGGGAGCACATCTGCGGCGCCTCACACTATTGTTCTCGTTTCATTACCAAAGATAAGTCTGAGTGCAGTTAGGACCAGAGCCCACTGCAGCCGGCATCTTTTTCAAATAGACTGAGCTATGTTCAAAAGATAGACTATTATATAATTTGTGAAGAATGAATGGTAAGTTATTTTTGTCATTTCTTCTAGCTTCCTTACAAGGTGAATTAATGAGGAGTCTCCCTAAATGAAGACATCACAACCTCATTCCTAACATAGAAACTTATTTATTTCAAATACAGTTTCAGTGGATAAATAAGGAGGCTCATTCCTTCCAACAGGGGATACATCCAGGAGCACAACATATGCCTGAGTAAAACACAGCTTCATCACTAATTCAAGCAAACTCTTTGGCAACATCACCACATCGGATCCATCAACTTACCAGGTACGCTTTAAACCTTTTCTGCACAAAACCTAAGTCAAAAGTGTGTTTATAGATAGCACTTCTTATACGTTAATATTGTAAAGCCTCCTAAGAACTTTTTGTAGCAAGTGTCAGTGTTAATTTTTAGAGAATGTTCAGTCTGGAGATTATCTCTTTGTATATTTCATTTCTGCTTAGCTACATAAACGTATTTTCAAAGCTTGGTTTTTGGTACTGACCTAGTTAGAAATTGAAAAGCTTTAATCCATGTTCTAATCTTATTCTGACCTGCTTATCTAACCAGTGAAAAACTCATGCACTTTTCTGGCAAATTTATTGTAAAGAAACAGATATTGCTCATCAGAACCACAACATTTTATGCAAATAAATAAGTGAGGATATTTCCATAGGCTAAAAATGCCACTTTTTGGCTGGATGAAATGGCCAAAATATGATTCCTACAAACCCACACACTCTCCTGGCTCCGACGTAGTGACAAAGACTCTGCTTCGGGAATTAAAGTGGCATCTGAAGGAGCGAGAGAGATTAATACAAGAGATCGAAAATGAACAAAAAGTTAAAAAAACAGGTGTGGATTACAACTGGCTGAGAAACTACCAGAATCCCCACACGACCATCCCAGCTACTGAACAAAGACAACTTGAAGTCCTTTGCTCACAAGTTCAGCCTTGTCAAACTGGAACTATTCTCAGCAGGTAAAAATACTATGTTCTCTTTTGTGATATTTTGCTACTGTCAAGTCTAAGTTCCTCATACATCTAGACTGGAAATTGTATTCTATTATGTAAATTCTTTAATCATGTGTATCAAAACCCGGCAACCAAAATCCCCAAGGATAGACTGGACAAAAATATCCGTTGACATCTTACTGGCTAGGAAATATTTTTAAACCATATTCAGAATTTCTTTACTAAGAAGCTTAATTTTAAAGGAATGAGCAGATTACTCAAAAACGTGAGCAACTACTATAGGATCACGTTATTTAAGCTGTACTCTGGAGATAAACAGATATGACAAAAGAAAGTTTCTGAACTAAATGTTCATTACTGGTTTCCCTGCAGATTTCGAGAAGTTTTAGCAGAAAATGATGTACTGCCGTGGGAAATAGTCTACATCTTCAAGCAAGTTCTGAAAGACTTCCTAAACAGTACTAACAAAGGTAACCAGCAAGAAGGCCTGGAAGAGTCAGGGAACATAGACTGTCCTGTTCCTTCTGTGATCCTGGGCACAAGCTCCAGGGGTTCCAATAAAGACGAAATACCCACGATTTCTAGTTACGTGGACAAAACCACAAAGAACAGGTTCCCAGCATTTTCGCATAGAATATGGAACCTACCATATTATTACCCATCAAGTTAAGTTACTTATAACCAGAGAAGTTTTTATGGCCATCTTTAGAAGCAGAATTCTTAATATTAAGAATACAAAAAAGGGGGCGCCTGGGTGGCTCAGTTGGTTAAGCGACTGCCTTCGGCTCAGGTCATGATCCTGGAGTCCCGGGATCGAGTCCCGCATCGGGCTCCCTGCTCGGCGGGAAGTCTGCTTCTCCCTCTCATGTGCTCTCTCTCTCTCTCATTCTCTCTCTCAAATAAATAAATAAATAAAATCTTTAAAAAAAAAAAGAATACAAAAAAGTAATGTGATTTCACGTTTCTCTGTTGCAAAGTCAAATGTTAAGTAGTTTTTAACTATGCATCCGATGTTTTAAATAGTGTTCCTTTTTTATCCGCTCTAAAAATGCAATGCTTTATTGAACTGTATACTTTTAACTAAAATGATTCCTAAACACTTTGAAAAACACATGTGAAGTATTTTCTTATACTTCAAACACATCTCACAGGAACAAGTATGGAACTGGGCAAATTCTGTGTGAAAATTAGACATTAACCTTGACTTTTATTCCGAAAGGAAGCTATGTATAGAATAAAATAAATGATTGATGTGAATCTTGTTTTTACAATATAACACAGAACTGACTCCAGCTCAGTCATTCTCAATGGGAAGGGGAAGATGGGCAGTGACAGAGAAAATAATGTGCAGTTTAAAGACTAAGTAGTGCTTTACTTCAACATTCAAAGTTGTTAATAATTACAACACTTTTAATCTCAATTAACACAATGGGAAAGTAAAAAATATAGAGCTATATTGTATCATTAAAAAGAAACAGGCTGGGTTCATTGAAAATAACAAATATTCTGGGGCCCCTGGGTGGCTCAGTCAGTTAAGCGTCCAACTCTTGGATTTCGGGTCAGGTCATGATCTCAGGGTCGTGGGATCAAGCCCCAGGTTGGGCTCCCTGCTGAGCATGGATCCTGCTTAAGATTCTCTCTCTCCCTCTGCCCCTCCAGTCCTCTCTAAAAATATAGCAAATATTCAATATACAAAACTCAGTATTTCATAATTTCATTAAAGTAGAAAACTAACCACTGGATTTATTTTTTTTTATAAAGTCCTAGGATCTTTATCATCTTAAAAATGAGTCCAAGGAACCTAATGTTTACAACTTTATATTTAGAGATTTGCTGTTTTTCCCCCATCTAAAAGGAAAAATATTCAAGACTAGAACTCAATATCCACTCCAAAAAAAAAACCCTTCTGACTTGTTTTTTCCTGGACTCTTGGCCAACATCTACACCATTCTGAACGAGTCTCAATTTGGTCTTTAGTCCTGTGTCATAAATGGTGTCATCCTGACCAGGGTTTAAGACAAGGTAAGTGGAAACACAGCCCTATGTGGATCTAAAATAAAGACACCTCTCACTCCTGTTCCCTTTTCAGTGTTTTCATGAGCTAACTATCCATGATTCTTTAATCACTATAAAAGTCTTAGAGTGGACACTGTGGGAGAGCTAAGCATCCCCAGAAGTGCACAACTGATTACTGTCCAGTGAATACATTAGAAACAAGAGTTTTAATATTATTGCCTCAATGGTGATAACAAAATTTGTTTTAAACAACATGGAGTTTGTCTATGAAATGCGGCACTAGAACTGGCCACCTCACCATGTAGGTTAGGAAATACACGCCAGAAAGAGGCCCCAAACCCTCCATTCTCTCCACAAGGCATCTCCATCAGCCACCACACAAAAGAAATGACCAAGCCCACCACACTTCTGAGAGGCGCCATGCTCCCTGTCCAGACAGGAAGAGGAGAATTTTCTTAAGACCCTCCTGTCCGAAGCTTCCTGCAACTGAAGAAGCTGCAGACAGTTAGGTGACCCACTAGTCAAGGAGGATCATGAACCCCATGCTGCTTTAAGTCACCCATGACGCAATCAATTCCACAACAAGACTTTAAAGGGGAGTGGAAGAAATACACTGCATTTTGGTATGCAAAGTCTCCATCTCTCACTTTGTTTTGGCAATAACCTAATAACCACATTTCCAGTGAGAGCTTTGGTGTATGTAATTTAAAGCTACAGTTGTTCCTAGAAAATCTACAAATCAAATAGAAATTTTAACACAAATAACTTCCTAAATATTAACAGATCCTGCTTCTATACTTTGGGCTGCTTATAGTACCTAAAGTTGGCAAGAAGATGAAGGTCAAAAACATAAGGGGGGTGCAGATGGGGGAGAAGAATACCAGGAAAGCTTTAGGCATGTTTTATGAAGAGAGAGTATTGACGCAGTGACTAAAAGCTTTAGCTAGGAAATAGTGAGGTGTAAATACATTAATCCACATAAACGTATTCTGCATATCTGACACATCATAAGCTCTCAAGAGTTAGCATTATCAACCAACCCAGTCCATTTAACAATGTTAAAGTCATTCTTCCACATGCCAGACACTGTGCGAAACACTGCATATATACCCTGATTCAGTCCTTTCCTTCAAAGTAGGTAATATTAGTCCTACTTGACAGATGAACAAATAGCCTCAGACACATTCAATGGCTTGCCCAGTATCAGGAACAACAGGGTGGGGATTCGTATCACTCTGTCAGGCCCCTAGCACCCCTCCAGCCTCGACCTACTCTCTGAGCTCCAAATGCATAGTCAATTGCCTACTTGACACACCTCCTTTTGGATGCCCACAGGCAAGCAAAGTCACAGAGGTTTGTTTTTTGAAAGGATAAAAAAAAATCAAGAAAGAAACAAAGAATCAAAACAACACACATACACAAATGAAAAGCACAGCTATTTAAAAACTTAAGCTCAGTAAATGACACCACCACCAAGCCATCCAATTCTATAAGCCAGAATGTCAGAACCATTCTGGAGGGCAGAGGGGTCAAAAACACCTCACAAACAAATAAGACTTGGGGCACATGGTAAGGGTTTTAGAGGAGGAAAAAAAATGTTGAAAGAGATTAGAGAGGCAGAGAGAGGAGGTGTGGGAGGACTTGTGCAGCTGTGGAGGCCACAGGAGACCTCTGCAAGAAGACACTGGAACAGGGCCCAGAATGAGGAGAGCAGTCAGTCACGGGAAGAAACTGGACTGCGGGGGGGGGGGGGGGGGGGGGGGTGGCATTCCAGGCAGAGGGGTAGATGCAGAAGCCCCAAGGCAGAAATGAGTTCAGTGTCTTCCAGACACAGAAAAAATGCCAATGTGGCCAGAGTACAGCAGATTAGGCAGACGCCAGATGGAGGAAGGCCTGGCAAGCCACGACAGAGTCTGCATTTTATTCTAATGGCAATCTATCCACAGAAAGCTGCACACCTACTCAAAGAACCTTAGGAGTGAATGTCTACTCAAGAACTTGCTCATTTAACAAATAGTAACTGAGCATCTACCTCATGCCAGGTATTCTTCTAGGTGCTAGAATAAATTGTTGGGGGGGCAAGGATGGAAGCTAGGAGAATAAAAATAGAAGCCTTTTACAATAATCCAGGAAAGAGATGATGGTGGTTTACTTAGTCCAGGGTGGTGAAAGTATAAACAGTGAAGTGTGCTCTTATTCTGGAAACATTTTACAGTACAGTTGCCAGGATATTTTGATTTTCATTGGATTGAAAACACACACGCACACCCCCCTTAGGGAAATCAGCTATGGTCAAAGAAGTAAGGCAGATTTCATGATTCAGTCAAGGCAGGAGTGGATAAGGAGGCCACTCTCATTTCCAGTGTATAATAAGCAATTAATAATTGGGATCTACTAAGGCAGTTCATTCATGCAAACAAGTATGTGGGTTCCTACTGTATGTCAGGCACTAGGAGGCGGAGATTCGGTGATAATCTGTTCCCCACAAAGGTCTTACGTGGGGAAAACAACATAAAGGAATTCCATACAAGTACTAAGAGAAGCACATGGGGTACTAGGCAAACAGTTGTTTACTTAAAGTGGGGAGCGTCACTCGCTTAGTTTTCTTCTGAGCCTTCCAACTGCTCCTTCTCACCCTCCTTTGTTCATTCCATCTTGTCAACCTCTAAATGTTCAAGGTCCAGGCCTGGGTCCTTGGACCTCCTCTCCTTCAGCACTCACCCATTAGGATCCACCACCCATAGTCTGGGTGAGCTCATTGGTCTCAAAGCCTTAAATCCCCAAACATCTGGCTCCAGCCAGGTTTCTTTCCTCAACTCCAGATGCTTACATTTACTGCCCACATTTACATTATCTACTAGTAACATCAAGTTAAAGTGTTAGAATCAAACTCCTACTGCTTCCCCATACACCAGCTCCTCCTGAAGTCCTGCCTTTCTCAGTAAATGGCAACATGCTCCAGCTGCTCAGCCAGAAACCTTGGTGTCACCCATGACTGGCTTCCCCACTCATGTTCTGTATCTGATCCAGCTACAAAGTCCTTGCCTCTGTCTTAGAAATATATCCAAACTACACTATGCTTACCACCTCCACTGCTCCAGTCCTGGTCTAACCTACCATCCTCTCTCCTTGGATGATGTATTAGTGAGCGTTCTCCAGAGAAAAAAAACCAACAGGATGTGTGTGTATACAGAGAGAGAGAGAGAGATTTATTTTAAAGAATTAGCTAGGCCAGCAGGCTGGAAACCCAAGGAGGAGTTGCAGTCCGAGTCTAAAGGGATTTGGCAGAATTCCGTCCTGTTTCAGGAGGTCAGTCCTTTTCTCTAGCCATGTCTTCAACTGATTTGATGAGGCCCACCCACAATTCAGAAGGTAATCTGCTTTACTAAAAATCCATCAACTTAAATGTTAATTTCATTCAACAATCACCTTCACAGAAACATCCAGAATCATGCTGGGCCAAATACAGGCATGATGGCCCAGCCAAGCTGACACATAAAGGCAATGTCAAAGATAATACCAACAGACTCTTCCCTGATCTCCCTGCTTCTGCCCTAGGCCTGCTCCAGTCCATTCCACACAGCAGGGATAGTTAAAGCCTTAAGTCATGTCACAGCTCTGCTCAAAACCCTAGAGTGCCCTCCAATGGTTCCCCAGTAGCCTCAGATGAAGTAGCAAAGTCCTCCCTGATTTCAGGGATAGTTCTGGACCCAGCTCCA